ATGACGTATTTCTCCATCCGCGACTGGCGCCGGGCGTACAGCTCGGCCCCCTTCCCGGAGGCCTCGGAGAGGTTCTGGTTGGGCTTGGGCTTGGGCTTGGCCTGGATGCGGGGCGACTTGAGGCAGGAGGCCCACTCGGGGACCGCCTCGTCTGCAGCCGCGGGGCTGGCCCTGTCCCGAGGGGCCGGCTCCTGCTGGAAGTTGGAAGCCTCAGCGCCCAGGGCGAAGGGCTCTTCCTCCACGCCCGCCTCCTGGTCCCTCTGCCTCCGCTTCTCGTCAGCTGTCTGCACCAGATCCAGCAGGTCCGGGTTCGGGGCCACCTTGGGCTTCTCCACGAAGGTGAACATGGCCTTCCGGCTGCCCCGGCGGGCCATGGACTCCTCCAGGATGCCCGTCTTGCTGGCGGGAGCCGCCTGGCCCTTCAGGTACGAAGGCCTGGGGTCGGGGCTGGGGTACAGGGCTGAGTAGGAGGGGGGAGACCGGACCCGGGACGCCAGAGGGGCTGTGGACAAGGTCTCCGCGTAGGTGGGGGGCGGGGTGAAGGTCCCCAGGGGGCGTCTTTCCGGGATGGGGCTTCGCTGCCCCACCAGCCTCCTCTCCACCATGGGGCTGTGAGCCATGACATGTCTCTGGGGCCGGGGGCTCCTGTCTGCCACGCTGGGGGGCTGCGGGGCTGGCGCCTTCTCCCCAAGATGTCGCCTCTCTAGCATGGGGCTCCGCTCCAGCTGGCTGGGCCCCTCTGGCGTCTGGATCCCAAAAGGCCTGGCCGTCCTGTTGACCACCGACGGGGGCTTGGCCAGCGTGAAGTGCACCTCGCTATACACCTTGGAGGGCATGGTGGCCGCCGACCGCCCAATCAGCTCTTGGTCTGCTGACACCACCATGGCGTCGGGCTGGACGTCGATGAGCAGGGAGCTGGACGTGTACTCGGAGGCCAGGGGCCTGCAGCTGGGGATGGCAGCCACTTCTCTGGAGAAGATGCCGGTGGCGGCCGGTGGGGCCGACACCTTGTCGATCAAGAGCGTGCTGGATCTCACCTCTTCGGCCGGCACCCGGGGCTGCCCGTTGGCGCACACGCTGCCAGGGGTGGAAGCTGGTGCCGTGCTGTGGGGTGGGAGCTGGGCCTCTGAGGAGTTCCGCTCGTCACCAGAAAGTGCCAGTCCCTGTGGGACGCTCGTCACCGGCGGGTTCTGATTGACATCGGGGGCCGGAGGGTTGTGGCTGCTGTTTGAAGCGGGTGGGGCGGGCGTGGTGCTGGGGGACGACAGGTTCTGGTTGACATCGGCGGCCGGGCTGGGGGCCTCGGTGGGAGGGGGCGTCGGGCAGGAGGGCGGCGCGTCGCGGCTCTGGCCCAGGTGGAGCCCGTTGGCCGTCAGCAGTGCCGCGTTCTCCTTCAGGTACACCACCAGCGGCACCTCTTCCTCCTCACTGGCCACCTTCTCCAAGTGCCGCAGCAGGCTGGCCTCCTCCGAGTAGCCCTCCATGCTGTGGCCAGGGGCCCCACGGTCGGGGCTCTGGGGACGAGGGGCCCTGGGGGCGCCTGGCTTGGGCGGTGGGAGGCAGCTCAGGCCGAGCCCTGGGGCATGGCCTGCGGGGCTGGCGGGCGGTGCTCCGAGGGACCCCGGGCTGGGCTTCTGTCCCCGCTGGCCACGGCTCTCCAAGGTGAACTCGTTCACCCTCTGCCGGCGCCGGTTGAAGAGCTGGACGCCACGGGAGTTGGAGCTGGGCGGGGTGGTCAGCTGGGCCGCGATCTGCTGGCTCCGCACCTTGGCCTCCTTCAAATCCCTCTCAGTGAGGCTGGCGCTCCGGCCCAGTGCTGTAGAGAGGGACAGAGCCCAGTTAGCAATGGGAACACAAGGGTCCCCAGGTGCCCGCCCAGACAGACGGACAGACGGTCACCCGAGTCCTTCCCACAGAGGACCTTTCCCTCTGGAATTTGACCTTTACTCCCTGTTTCCTAGAATCAGCCTTCCTCACAGACATGCCCAGCTCATGCCACCTCCTCTGGGAAGCCTTCCCTGACGATCCTTTCAGAATTAACTGGTCCTTCATGTGGATTCTCCTGAAGGTTGTCGATAAAGCACTTTACCGACCAGAGTACAAACACCTCGCCCTGGATGTCGGGGCCCACCACTCCCAGCTCCTCACCCACCAATCTCCTCTCTCACCAGCCTCTGCCACACTGGCTTGCTTTCTGTTTCTTGAAAATGCCAAGTGTGTTTCTGCCCCAGGGCCTTGGCACTTGCTGTTCTCGCTGCTCAGAATAATCTTTCCCCCGTGGCATTCCATGCTGCTTCTTTCTTGCGCTCGGCTCTCAGCTGGAATGTCACCTCTGGAGGGGCCTTCCCTGCTCCTCTCCCATCTGCTTTATTTTCTTTATAGCATTCACCCCAACTAAAAAATTATTATTATCTTGAGATGAGGCCTCTCTTTGTGGCCCAGGCTGGAGTGCAGGGTTGTGATCATATCCCACTACAGCCTCAACCTCTTGGACTCCAGCGATCCTCCCACCTCAGCCTCCTGAGCAGCTAGGACAGGTATGTGCCACTACACCTGGCTAATTTTAAAAACTTTTCTTTTGAGACAGACTCTCACTCTGTTGCCCAGGCAGGAGTGCAGTGGTGTGATCCTAGCTTACTGCAGCCTTGAGCTCTGGTCTCAAGTGGTCCTTTCAACTCAGTCTCTCTGGGCCGCATTCACCACATCTGGAAATGGCCTTCATCACACTTCCCTGTGCATTATCTGACTGCTCACCGAGAGCATCACTCTAAGGGCAGTGACCTTGTATGAATTCGGGTCACTCTCACCTGGCCCCCCGACGCTGTGCTCGCCCTACGGTGGGCACCCAGCACACTACAGGGCGTGCAAATGCACCCAGAACACGGCGTGTCTTTCTTAGAGTCCTTTCCACCTTTTTTTTTCTTTCTTTTTTCTTTTCGCTCTGTCACCTGGGCTGGAGTGCAGTGGCATGCTCATGGCCACCGAAGCCTCGACCTGCTGGGCTCGGGTGATCCTTCCGCCTCATCCTTCCAAGTAGCTGGAATTACACAGGCAAGTGCCACCATGCCCGGCTAGTTTTTTGATTTATTGTGGAGATGAGGTCTCGACAAGTTGCCCAGGTTGGTTTCAATCCTGTGGGCTCAGGCAACCCTCTCATCTTGGCCTCCCAAAAAGCTGGGATTACAGGCATGAGCCACTGTACCCAGCCTCCACTTTCAAACTCAGAGGCATTTACTTTGACTCCATAGAGAGATGTCACGAATACACTTTTTAGGACAAGCAACATACTCCCATGGTCTAAAAATTAAAACATAAAAAGGTACAATCAGAAGTGCCTTCCATCCTCATCACTCCTCACCACAACAGGAACCGATGTTCTTCTACATCCTTCCAGAATGTCTTCCCATCAGTATTTAAACAATCACTTAGAAAGACATTTTTAACTAGGAAAGTAATAAAGCCAGGTACAGTGGCTCAGCCGGTCATCCCAGCACTTTGGGAGGCCGAGGTGGGAGGATTGCCTGAGCCTGGGGGTTCGAGACCAGTCTGGACAACTTGTTGAGATCTCATCTCTACAATAAATCAAAACATAAGCTGGGCGTGGTAGCGCATGCCTGTAGTTCCAGCTACTTGGAAGGCTGAGGCAGAAGGATTGCCTGAGCCCCGCAGGTTGAGGCTGCGGTGGCTGTGAGCGTGTCACCGCACTCCAACCTGGGCAACAGAGACTCCAACTCAAAAAAAAAAAGAAAGAAAGAAAGAAAAAAAGAAAGAAAGAAAGAAAGAAAGAAAGAAAGAAAGAAAGAAAGAAAGAAAGAAAGAAAGAAAAGTAATAAATCAGGCTAACTGCAGCAGAGACTACACTAAAACACTGCATTCTTTCACTTTCACTTTATCCTCACAAGAACAGCTATGAGGCAAGCATTATGTGCCCATGCCTTACCGAAGAGGAAATGGAGGTTCAGAGACTCATGAGTAACTGACCCAAGGTCACACAGCTGTGGATGGCAAAGCTGGAGCCAGAACCAGCTCGCCCTGGGCCCACAGCCCATGGAACTCTGTGCTCATCCCAAAGGGTCCCTTTAAAATATGTGCAGGGACTTAGTCAGAAGGGGGTTGGGGTTCAGTCTGGGGCCTGAGGTCAGGGATCAGGCTGAGGTCAGTCTCCTGTTAATCTGTAAGTTCACTGTGGGCCACCATTCTCTTCCCAGTGCCCAGCTGGCACACGGTCGCTGCTCAAATTATACTTGTTGAATAATAAATGAACAATGAACAGATGAACCGACAGACGAGTGGACGGATCAGCCTGTGGTCAGGGCCAGGAGCTCTGTCAGAGGCTGAAAGGACCCCTCCCTCTCTCAGCCTCCCTCCCTCCTGTGGGAGGCTAATTAGTTCTTGAGGAATCTGACCCTGCCCTCCCCACTGTGGCCTCATTAGCGCTGGCCATGGCAGGCAGAAAGGTCTCCAGGGACAGTCTGTCTAGGCGTCCTGCCAGCGGGGCTCAGAATTCATGGGCTATTAGAGCTGGAAGAGCCCTTACACAGGCACTTTTACCACCATCCTGCTTTACAGACGGGGAAACTGAGGTCCAGGGAAGAGCCTTGTGACGACCACACTGGAGTCAGCAAGGAGGCCCACGTGGAGCCACAGGCTTTCTGCCCAACCTCCCTCTGCCCCCCCTCCCATCAGGGCCTGGCTTTTCCTCCACCTGCTAGAAACAGCAGGAGCACACAGCCCCTCCTCCATGACACCTGCTGCCTCCACAGGACCCCTCTCCTGTCTGGATCACCCCATCCAGAAAGAGGAAGGATCTCACCCGGCTGCTCCCCCCGGGGAGGACGACTGTGTGTGTGGGGGGGGGTCACCAGCCACGCAGATGGCCCAAGAGTTGCTCAGCTCCTGTAGTGCCATCTCTGTTGCTTTGTGTCGAAACGAGCCCCCTGGCCCGAGTCCACGCCTTGCTGTGTGCTGTGGTGGGCCCTGGCAAGGACTGCACCTCTCGGAGCTCAGGCTCCCGAGAAAGGCGGGCACAGCACCTGATGTTAGGGCTGGGGCCAGAGTGAGGCCGTGAACACCGGAGGCTGACTGCTGCCAAGCCCGGTGGACAGGCAGAGGGCTCATGCCACCCCGGGATGAGCTGGCAACTGGTTCCCACTCTACTCCCTGGAGAAGGGCGGGGGTCTTCTTCCATCAAAGGAGATGCACTCCCTAGATTGGGGTCCTGAAGGTGAAACAGCAGGAGTTTCCAGGGTGATGGGGAGGGAGAGCTTACTGCCCCAAAACACAGAACCCCAGGATTTCAGTGGTGGCCGTCCCGGGTCCAACCCCCACACTCTGGCATCCCCAAAGCCACACCCCTGAGCGTGCAAGTCTCTGCTCACTGCTCAAGTGACATGAGCTCACCACCCCAGGAGTGCCTTCCACCAATTAACATTCCTCAGCTACAAAGCGGCTGGCTCCAGCACATGGACTTACAACCTCCTCTTGATGTGGTTCTGCACCCCCCAGGGCCGCACAGATGAAAGCTCTCTCTTCCCAGCCCCATAGCCCTGCAGAGATTCCAGGTCACATCCCCACAGGACAGGAGAAACAGCCTTCATCCTGCCAAAGTTTCTTAGCACAGGCTGCAGCAATAGCGGCCAACGTGAATTGGGCACTTACCGTCTACCTATACATGCCCGTTACACCCACGAGGTCATTCCCACAACAACCCTATGAGGCCAATCTACGATTATGCACATTTTATGAATGAGAAACCAAGGCTCAGAGGTAAAGTGAGCTGTCCAAGGTCACAGAGCCAGAAGGGAGTAGAGCTGCTTCACACCCGGTTCTATGGGACCTCAGAGCATGCCAGACTGGCTGGCCGGTTCCCACGGTTGTGCGGCTCCTGGAAAGCGCATCAGTGTCTACTGGTTCAGGCTTTCTCGAAGTCCCTGCCTTTCTCTGCCTCAGCTTCATCCCCAGGCTGGAAAAAAGTCCACAGGTTCAGCAAAACCTCCAGTGCCAGAGCATGAGAGCCCCTGGAGCTAAGCCGGCCTGGAGGGCAAGTGACAGAGGAGGACGTGAGCCGGGACCGGGTCTGCTGGCCCCACCAACCTCCCCTCACAGCTGGGCTGCTAATGCCCGCACCAGCACTCTGAGCTTGAGCCGCCCCCAAGTCGCAGTGCTGGGACAAGAGGAACAGCAGAACAGGCTTGCCCTCCCAGGAGAGCGCCCGTGCCCGTCCCCTGCTTCACAATGACTCCACGGAGAAGGAATTCGGCAGGAGGTTTGGATCAGACCCAGCCAGCAAGCCAGGTGCCGTCTGCCACCCTGCACGGGCAAAGCTGATTGGAAGGGGCCTGGCTAACGGCCGGTACCAAATCCCTGGTGGCAGGGCACCGGGCGGCTCTGTCCAAAGGTCCCCAGACCAGGGAACTGTCCCCTCTGGTGATGTCCAGATTGTGCTCCCTGGTGTCGGGGGTTGGGGGGAGGTAGCCAAGGGCCCGGGACAGACACCCCTCGGAGCTCCCACTCTGGCTGTGGCTAGCACCCGTGCAGATCACAGTGCCACCCCCACCTAGGCCTCTAAGTCTGACTCAGGGGACTGGATCTGTGAAGGCCACCCTGAAGACAGGCCTTCCAGAGAGGAAGGGTCGGAGGGCGGCCTGGGTCAGGGCACTTGGACCCCACAAGGTCAATGCTGCAGCGGGGGAGGGGCGAGAAGCCGTGGACTGAGGGTGGCCATGACTGAGCCTCTCTGCAGCCCCAGCACCCGCTGCGCCCTTGATGTTGTTCAGTCTCCACAGTGTCCCTGTCGTGAGTCTGCCCATTTTGCGG